CAGCTTTCCTTTTAAACCTTCTAGTGTACTCAACCTGTGTTTCCGGCTGTCGCCGAGCGGACTCAGGTGTTGATACCATTTCATCATCATCAACCTCTTCTACTGGTACCTGAGCCTGAGGCACAACAACAGGGCTCTCCTGAGAGAGTGCAGGTTCAACACGTCTTTCCTTTCTCCGTTGTTCCTCAAACTCAGCAAAACGCTTTCTACATTCCTTGTTGTGCCTAATACCAGGTGCTTCCATGCCACTCTCACATGCTGGACATCGACGAGTCGGTTCAAAACGTGATACGTCAGGTGAAGTTCTTTCAGAACTCTCAGGACTACCAATGGCTACATCTGCAGTATCTGCTGGTGACGTAGGAGATGGAGTGACAGAAACTCGAGACGGCTCTGCTGGAACTTCCTGTGGAGTCACGACAACGTTAGATCTTGCCAATGGCACTGCTGGCGCCAAACGCAGCTCACCAGGTTTCTTCTTCACACTGCTGGACTCTGGCGAGACAAGTCTGGGCTGTGAAGGTGCCGGCAAACTCTGACCTTTCAACTTTCGCAACTCTTCAGGAGGTAGCTGACTCATATCAGCTGGTGCAGTCCCACTGTCATTCACAATTTGGGGTCTACTACTTACAGTCCCAGTGTCAAACTGCGTCAAAACTCCCTGTCCCGAATTCAAATCCCATCTCAAAGGTGAAATAGCCCTGATGTTCCTAGCTACAAAACGCATCAACTCAGCTTTGCCATCCACACGAATGAGACCCTGCACAACTGGACCTCGTTCCAATCCCATGTGAATGAAAATACACTCAACATTTCTTGTTGAAAGTGGTGAATGCTGCCGAATTGAATCAGGAATTTCTGCCAAAACCTGAGCACCAAACAAAGTCGAAACTGGTTTGGATAACTTCCTTCCTGAAACCATTTCCAATGGACTTCTGTCTGAACCTCTCGATGTTGAAAAATGGTTGTTGCACAAAGCCAAATACGTCAAAACATCAACCAAATTCTCATGTGAAAACGTGACATCCAACCCTTGTGCATTCAGATCAGCCCTGAACACAGAAAAGGATTCCTTTAATTCCCTAACTGCTCGCTCAGCCGACCCAATCGATCGATGTTGTTGTGGCGCGGCTCTCCGAATAGCGAACGTGTATCGGCCAGTGGAGGATCCAATGATCTCTCCCACGGCCCTCTCGCTATCGGTGTGGACATCAATGGAGACTGCCTTCGAAGTCAACCCAAAATGTTGAAGCCATACAACAATTTGTCTCCTGGCTGCTTCGACATCTTCTCCAACCACCACATAGCCAATGCACCTCGACATCATCTCGGTTAACACAAGGATCTTCACCGAACCTGGGAGTTCGTCTGTGGCGATCTCGCCTGATGTCTTGAGGAATGCAAAATCGGCCTGAATAGAAACCTCTTTCCTGTCACCTTTGTCTCTTCTGTGCTGAAAAACAGAACGACCTTTGGCACACTCCAAGCAATTCGGATTGAATGGAATATGTCCCTGTCTCCGGTGACGTGCCAGTTCACCGTCGTCTCCTCCAGACACAGCTGCGACAGAAAAGTCATGAGTATTACTCACAGTCAAGTCAGACCTGTATGCACTACTACTACCAACATCGGGATACAAACGAACCCAAGGACAATTGGCAAAATAAGCAACATCAAGACAATGCATTCCAAGCTTTTCATGAAACAAATCAAAACCTTTTGGACCTTGTGTGAATCTCCATCCCGAATCTGCCAATGAAGTGATTGACAAAATGTTGTGCCGGATGGAACCCACCAAAACATTCAAACGTGCTTTCTTCCAACACCAATCATCACCTGATGTGCCTGACATGTGCATCTGTACTCCAATCTCAGCAGTGCCTGACATGTTGACTGAGGATCCATTGGCAGCTTTGTAGCCACCTAACCCCTCACTGTCCTGCAGCACTGACCTGAAGGCTGACAAGTTCGACTCAGCCAAAACACTTGTGGATGCACCAGAGTCAAGAAGCCACCAAGAAGCATCGGTGTTGTCAGCGACCTGTGAAAGCAAAGGTCGCAAAAACTTAAAATAAGGTTCAATCTGCTGTTCAACCGAAACCTCACTGTGGTCGTCAAACCAATCATGTGCACGCACCAAAACGACTTTCATCGGTACAGTGGCACACAAGTCTCGGCTGGGGCCATTAACAAAACCTGTCTCTAAGTTGGAACTATCACCAAGTCCAACCTCATCTCCACACTTCAAACCACAAAACCATGGCTCATGAGTACAGCTGTCGCAACCTCTTGCCAGCACACAACCCATGTCAGCCGGTTCACTTTTGACTACTTCTGACTCACAAGTACAGCTGTCGCAACTCCTTGCCAGCACACAACCTGTGTCAGCTCATCTTTCTCTTCTGACTCATGAGTACAGCTGTCGCAGCTCTCTGCCAGCACACAACCCATGTCAGCCAGTTCATCTTCTTTTGACTCACGAGTACAGCTGTCGCAACTCTTTGCCAGCACACAACCCGTGTCAGCCAACTCACTCTCAAAGTCTTTGCAATCAACCACAAGCCTATTTTCGGTTTCCATGTCAGCAACCTCATGCTCATGCACAAACCTAAGACCTCCAGTGGTTTCACATGTCATGTCAAACAACAAAGGATTTATGATCATGCTGCCGACACTGCCAGTCTTTTGGACATCAGACTTATTGTCGTGACTTGCACTCGGTTCCGCACTTTGGACTGGTCCCTGTTGCCAGGTATACCCATACCCGTCGCAATACCATCCAGAACCATCGTCCCACCATGTCTGCGAAACTCCCCATTGACCATCACAGCTCTCCGGCCATTGGTCATGCCACCAATAGTCATCATCGTCCCAACTCTCTGCAGTCCAGTCGGTCCAATCCTCTGAAACTTCATTCAACTTGCCTTTCTTTCCCTTTCCTTTGCTACCTTTAGAGCCTTTTCCTTTGGAACCTTTCTTGTCCCAAGTGTCAGTCCTTGCACTACCCTTGCCTTCTCTGCTCTCAGGGCAGTTGAAGCTTATGTGTCCATTCTTACCACATCTAAAGCACCGGATCCTGCTCATGTCTGCGGTACAAGCTGGTGCAGTGTGTTTCCGACTGCCACACTTCCCGCATCTGCCTTCCATTGCATCTACGAGTTCGGCATCAAGAGAATGATGTTCTACATTCCCCTCCAGGGAACTCAATCTCTTGCTGTGGCCTGTTGTCTCAAAATCGCTGAACAGGCGCTGTTTCTCTTCCCACCGCATCGCAGCGTTCCTGTAGGACTCGTAATTGTCTGCGCCGCTGTGGTGGAGAACGTAGTTCTTCACTGTCTCAGGCAAGCTTTTCAACAGAACAACTAGCATGTCAGAATCTGCCAGCTTCAGTCCTGTGGTGTCCACCTGCAAAGGGAGAGTTCCTAACAACCTTAAGAACCTTGCAGCTTCATAGTCAATTCTTCTGATAGTATCACTAACCAAGGAACTCGGCGATGTCTGTGTCGCCGCCAGGACAAAGGATTTCCCTGCAATCTGCGTCCTTAGTGAGAGCGCTTCGGATCTTGACCTCAGAGAAAATTCAAGAGTAAGTTGCCTAAGCAGTTCAAACCCGTTTGCTTGTTGGTTTACTGCTACTGCCACTCTGTCACTAGATCCTACTCCATGTAATGCCACACCTTCACTGAAAGCGTTCACCAACGCCACACACCTGGGGTTGTCGTGAAACGCAGCTTTTAAGATGGACATAAGCCTTCGAGACCTTGCCTGTTGTGCTCCACTGAGAGCACCCCATCTGATGGGACCGGGCCAACGTCTACTATGCTGGATTTCTACAGAAAATTCTAAACTTCCACCAGCTGCCCAGGATGACAACTCATCCAAATAGACAGCCCAACCTAACACCTCTTCTTCTCTTGTCTTCCAAGTTCCTACTAGTGTTGGTGCCGGTGTCAACCATTTTTCGCTTTTGGCGAAGACATCCAATTGCTGTGAATTTCCATGATTTGATTGTTGAACACCAAAACCAGGCAAAACATCAAATGGCTGCGGAGTCACAAACGACGAATCAGCTGCCCTACCAAGACCATCACCAAACACTTCTGGAACCCCTCTTCTCTGTTGCATAGTTACAAAACGATCTTGCATATGCTGCTGCACTGTCTGTAGCTGTCCCTCACTCATGCTACCTAACATGGCCATGACCTCTTGGATCTGCGCCGCCTGAGGCGTCAAACCTCCCAAGCTCGCTCCAACCGGGCCACTCGGCATGTTTCCTTGGCAACTCATTGGGTTCATTCCTAAGTTTGGAAAATCTCCAGACCTTGGTCCACCAGGCATACTCGCACAACTATTAATTTTTAAGAGTTATGCTCTATCGGTCAGCCGGGGACCCTAAAATTAGGTACGACTTAGGTGGTCGGTACGGGGACGTACGGTGGGTACGCATAGTGGGGATGGGTACGGTGGGTTGGTACGGACATTGGGTACGGAGGTGCTGTGGCACGGTATGGTGGTACGGTACGATGGTACAGTACGGTGTGGTGTGGTAGGTACGGTGGAACGGCATGGTACGAATACGGCCAGATAGGTACGGTACGGATAGGTACGGTATATGGATAGGTATGGTACGATGGGGGTACGGATAGGGGTAAGCTGGCGACAAAGAAAAATAATTATTGAGTTATTAGTTATTAGTTATTAGACTAGATTAATTAATAAAAGAGTTGAATCATATGAATCTAAATATTGATATTAAAATTAAAATATAGTGTAGTAGTAGTGACAGTGTATTATATTTATATAATATTATCAGGGATCAACGACGATTTGTGGGTCAAAATTGTGACTCATTCACTAGTGAGCCCTTGAGTGCTGCCAGCACAATCGCTCTGAAAATTCAAACCAACTGCCAACTGCAGACTGCAGCATTTCGTTTTTTTTCTTCTCTTGCGCCCTTCAAGCACTGCTGTTCTGTTCCGAATTTCCGAGTGGTGGATTATTTACTCAAACCATCGAGACTGCGTCAACTGTGTGGATGGCGTGAGTGGCCACTTCACACCTAATTGCTCAGCAAGATTGCTGTGCTGCTCACGCCACTTGTCACCTGAAGAGCTAGGACCAGGCTCAGAAGAAGCTTTCCTTTGAGCTCGCCGGTCCCCAGCATTCAATCGACGGTTCAATTCGGCCAAAACTACCCGGTCATCATCCTTCAGCAAGAAGTGGTCCTAAGTATCACTGAACTGGACCCGGCTGGAAACGATATGATTGCTGATTGCATATTGCACATTGCAGTGCAGACAATTCAGGTTGATTGAATTCATTAATATATAATATAATAATATATATATATAATATATATATATTATATATAATTATATATAATATAATATATATATTATATATATTTCATTAAATTAATTACTTTACTTACTTACTTAAACTTACACTGACTTACACTGTGTACAGTGTACACTTACACTTAAGTTACATACTTCATACTCGTACAGATACAGCATAAAATAACTTAACTAACAGTGACAGTCACAGTCACAGTAACGTCGTCAGCATTGATAACTTAAAAGTTGACTGGGTGTGATTCGGTGTGATGCAAAACTGGAAATCTGCAAATCTCAGTGAGTCAGGGAGTCTAAGGACAAGACAATAGGCGAGTTCACAGACATGCAGGCAGTCAGCCGTGCTGGAATGAGCTTGATGATCTCCTTTGCGGATACCGCAAACTTATCCTTGTTCGATATTCCGAAAATGTAGTAACGAGTCCGGCGTTGGGGCACGCCATAATCGGATGTCTTCAGCTTTTCAGCGCAGCAAGTGTAGCCGAGGCCTTCCAAATAGTTTAAGGCCATTTGAAGGTTTGACTTTGTCTGCCTTATCAGGGCCAGCAAAGCATCAACAAAAGCAAATGCCCTGTTTGATAGTGCCACGGACAGGACAGTGATTTTGTATTTGTAATTTTTGTAATAGTAATAATTGTAAGTGAGTGTGTATACTGTACTGTACTGTGTACTGTGTAGGTGTAAGATGATGCCAGTTAGTTAGTCAGATCATTTGCTAGCTTCAGAATACTTATTATTTATATTTATTTATTATAATTATAATAATAATTATTATTTATTATTATTTTACCGATACTGATCCTGAATCATCTTTTGCTGCTGTTTCAAGACAAAACTTTGCAACTAACTTACTTTGTACTTTCACTTTCAATTTGACTTTGACTTTGACTCAAATTTGGAAAAACAGCGCAATACAATACACCGACATCGAAACACACGAAACTGGGTCATAGTCGTAGTCATAGTCACAATTCCAGTACATGATACATGAGTATGTATGAGTACAGTACAGTACAGTTACAGTTACATGATACAATGATACATGATACATGCATGTGATCATGTGACAGTATGTGACAGTGACATCAATTATCGGATGAAGAAGAACCATCCTTCAAACTCACCATATCATGTAACATGACATGACTCGACTCGACATGACAAACTATTTTGAATTTTGACTCAATTGAGAATCAATCTCAAAGACCCTTCTGCAGCACTGCTGTAGCAGAGTCACTCTCGGTCGTCTTCCTCGCCAGAAGAAGTGTCCATGGAGTCGACATTCTCAAGGATGAAGGCTGATGGCTGTGTCTTCTCGACACAGTGGCAGACTCCGTTGAATGTTGCCGTCGATGAACAATCCTTAGCCGCTGCGCAGCAAAATTCAGATTCCACCATTCACACCGTCACTGAGACTGAAGCACATCAGTGTCAGTAGTTCACCATCTTTGACCGGTGATTAGTGATACATGACGTGTATTAATACAGTACGGTCTGGTATCAGAATGCCATTATCATTAACAACGTTTCATTCATCATTTATTGCTATCAATAACCAATACAGACTCAACCAACATATCAGATTGAACCAACTTGAACCAACAAAATCAATCAGCGTGATAGTTAGCCCTCCTCCCCTCAACTTGCCATCGACAAGTATCGGTCCCATCTTTCAAAGCTGTTTTCAGGCTGCTAAAGTCATTGTTCATCTTGCTGAAAGACCTGTGACTGTGAGTCCAAACTTGGCAAAGCACAAACCACTGGCTCTGCCGTGCCACACAACCATGCAATTGCCAAGGGGCTTGCAGCTGAATCCAGCTGCGAAGATCGAGAAGACACCCTCATCTGAACAATCCGGCAGAGCCTCAAAGAGCCGGCTCAATGCTACCGCTACAATCAACTACTACAACTCAAAATCATCACCAACACCAACAGTTAGTCAACAACAAAAACGACTTACCTAATTACTGACATGTTCTTCTGGTGTCTAAAGTCCAGTCCAGAGTCCAGAGTGCAAAGTGTAATCTACAATCTATTCTACCTCCTCAGAGCTCACAAAAATATAGTAAGGTCCGGTAAAGTTAAAGTTAATAGTGACAGTAGTCATAACCATTCATCATCTTCTCGATTCTAGAAGTATCATGTGAGAAGTCTCAAACGTGTGAAAGAGATTTGAGGCACTCACACAGCATGTGCCGTGCACCGTACACCTCCGCTCATCCTTGTTGTGCAGTTTGGTAATGTCCTCAAACATGCACACCATATCCAGCTCCTGGTTGTGAGTCAGGACAGCATCACAGATTAAGTTCCTTACCTTACTAGTTACAAAGTTACAAATCCATTACTGAGACCGGGTCAGAGTCAGAGTCATAGGAGGGGAGGAATGAAAGTACAGTCAGTGCAGTCAGTCAGTACAGTACACAGTACTCAGGATCCTCTTCGGGAATCGCATGTTTCAGGGCAAAGCTCTGCTTGTTCGGAACAATCTCACACATGAAGCTGTGCGACACCTGGCTTCAAGGTTCTTTCAAGTAAAGTGGAATGCATGTCTGGCTTTGGCAATTCAAAAAAGGTTGGCAAAATTGGCAGTGTGTTAGTTTGATTGACATGACCGCCATGCAGGCATGCATGCAGGCATGACTAATGACTACCAACTACCAACAGCCAATTTGGCCTATGACAACCCAGGCTCAGACTTGGAAAGACTCATTCCAAATTCCAAATTCCAAATGCCTGAAACTTGCAATATAATATTTATATGTATATATATATAATATCATATATATAAATAAATATATAATATATGACTGTGTGAACAGGTCAGACTGTGGCTGTGACCCCTTTGTCAGTCAAACACTTTGGCTGCCTTGAAAGGAATATCCAGCGTAGGCCGCGCAATGAATCTCTGGTTCAGCTCTGCAATCAGGGCTGAAGCCGCAAGCTCACACATGCCGGTGCCCGTGCAGGCCGTCATTACCTGAATCTCCCGAGGGACCGACTGCACGTTGATAGCAATTGATTCGAAACCAAAGTCGGCCACTACTTGGTCCATCTGCGCCTCCCAAACCGAATGGAACCCGTTGGAGTTGGAATAACTTAGAATTGTAGCTTAGCAAGGCTAACTGTCTTAGGCTTAGACTTAGTAAGACGTTTCAGTTAATTTGGTGAAATTAGTTAGCTAGTTAGATAGTTAGTCAGTTAGTTTTAACTAAACAATTTTTGAATAGTTTAGGCTAGGAATGTTTGGAATTTAGAGTTTCGAGTTTCGAAGAATTTAAAAGTTAGAAAAAATAGTTAGGAGTTAGGAGTTAGAACTTTTTATTTTTTGCGAGTTAGCTAATTAGCTTGTCAGTCAGTCAGTTAGTTAATAGCTCTTTGTTAATGTTAATATATAGTAGGTAAATTAGTGAATGAATGAGCGAGTGAGTGAATTAGGTAGTTAAACTAGTTAGTAACTAGTACTGCCGTATATAGTAGTACCTATGATATTAATAATACTAGGTATTTTTCTATTAGAAAATAACATATCCTTTAACCATACTATTTAATTTACTATTACTTTTCGAAATAATAAATAACTAATTAATGATAAATAATAAAAAATAAAAATAGAAATATTAATAAATAATCAACATATATTACTTAATAATTAATAATAAGTAAATAAACTAATAACTGTTTTGAGCTTATTTATGAGTATAACCTATGCAAGTGTTAGTAGAGAATGGAACTGTTCAAGTCGATGAACTTTTGCTAGAGTTAGAATCATAATCATAGTTACATCAATTCCTAATCAGAATCATCAGTTTTGGTTTCAAGTAGTTACAAGAAATACAAGAGTTACAATTGCAAGTTACAAGTTGCAAGTTACAAGTTGGCTTGAAATGGTGTTATGAATCTCATGAGTCATGAGTCATGATAACTCATAACTCTTAATTAAACCTATGACTATGACTATGACTAGTAACTAGTCTAGACTCTAGAGTCTACTATAACTTGTCATTGCCATGAGTCATAAGTCATAAGTTATGAGTCATAAGGCTCATACTCAAAAGGTATTCCAAAAGTGTCCAAAAGTTCAAAATAAGTAAAATATCCGGCCTTGCAAGTCTTTCGCATAAAGTACCAGGGATTTCCTGGCTGTGGCGAAGCATCCAAGTAGTCTTGCCGGTCGGGAGCATCATCACCAGCACCATTATCCTGGTCCATACCAGCATCGGCTGATGGTGTGTAGAATTGGGTGGCATTGTCAGTAACATCGCCCTCCGCATCCGCATCGAGAGCACTGCCCAAACGTCCAACCCAAATTTCATCATCGGTCTTTTGCTCCTCTTCTCCCGGCTCCTGATCTTCATCCCCATGAGAATCGCCTGCAGCTTTGGCCGTGGAAGCAGTGGCATCTTTGGCAGTGCCATCTCCTGTCTTTTCTGGATCCTGATTCTGATCCAGTGTGACAGGAGCCGCTGGAACAATGTCACCACAAACATTGGCCACAACTTCTTCTCCAGTTGGGGCCGCCTGCATCTCTAGTACTGCTGGTATAGTTTCTGCATCAGCATCAGCCACAGTGGCAGCCGTCGACCCAGCATCACCCATAGTAGACGCAGGCGCAGAATTCGTTTCAACACCCGTAGTGGCTTCACTGGGTAGTCCTGCGGCTGGGTGGAGAGTGGGCGGGCGCAAACGAAACTTGAGTCAATGACTATTCTGACTGGTTTGAGTTGAACATGTCATGAGAGACAAAGCATAATTGGTTCATCAGCCGAACTGCTGTGGAGTTGATTTACTGTTAGAGTTAACTGGTTAATTTGTGAGACTCAGTTGGGAGTCTGAAGATGTCGATTCACATTCACCTTTGTGCAACGGTTGCACAGTTGAACATATGATATGTATGACTCTGTCTGTATGATATATATATATATTATATATATATAATAATAATATATTATATAAAATACATGTGACTATAAATTATATATTATTATTTGTCACATCATAAAAGGTATAATATATAGACATATAAACATATATATATATATAAACAAACATTATTTAAATTAATACAATGAACCCATTGTATGGTGAATATGAAAATATTATAAGATATTTATTGATTATTATATATATTATTTATATATATATATTGCCATCGTACTAAACAGGGAACCACATTGCATTATATCAAATTGTATTATAGTATGTTATATTATATTCAATATATTTGTACTGAATAATATTATATTATACTCTATGATATTATATTGTACCGTATTGTGTTTTATTATATTATATTGTTTTTACATTACATGAATTAACTTATAACTTATAACCTTATATTATATTATATTATATTATATTTTCTTATATTATATTATAATATTATATTTTTTATATTACATTAAATTTTATTTAGTTTATAATACATACAGATTACATATTGGAATTGCTAACTATTGATGATATTAATTTTCATTTCCATATCATAGTCAAAATCTCATATCATAATATCATTAAAATTTTGTATGATGAAATTATATTTTTCAATAAAGTATTAAATTAAACTATAGGCTATAGGGTATAGACCGAGACTAAGACTATATAGACTCTATGTTATATAAAAACAAATCCAAATAATTACTATTTTATTATTAATAACCTAAAAATATTATATAATAATATAATATGATATAAGAAAATATTTTACTATATATTTTATTTTTTAATAGATTTAAATTATAAACTACACTTGAATTACAACCAAAATAAACATAACGATAATTAGAATTATAAATTATAAAAATAGAGCAAATATATTTCTATCCTATCTAATCTATTATATGATATAATATAAAACTAAACAATATAATTTTATATCATTTACACTACACTAATACAATTACAGTATACAGGAAATCATAAATTCAATGATTTTATTTAAATTTAAACATAATTAACCAAATTTCAAATATCATATAAATTGTTATTTAATTATCAAATTTTTATTAATAATTAATAATAATAATATTAATATTAATAATTAATATAATATAATATAATATAATTTAATTATTATTAATTATATAAATTATGCACTAACTATTTATACAGTTTATTACAGTACAGTCCAGTACAGTATTATGTCATTGAACTGAACAATATAATGAAGTATTATAATCTGCCCAACAAGACAAGTCAGGTCTAAGTTCAGTCCTGGTTGCTGCTGCTCACAGCTTTGATCACCTTGACCTTGACGCTTCACCTTGGCCCAAAACTTGTCAGCCTCTGGATCTGGCTCCTGCAGTTTCCGAGAGGCTTTGCTGGCTCTACGGCTACCAGTAGTCTGTGGTGTATCTGGCTCTTCTCTTTTCACTTTCACGGCTTTCACGGTCACCTTTTCCTTCGCCTTCGCTTTGGGCTTCTCAACTTTCTTCTTCTCGGCAGGTTTTGCCTTAGGCGTACTAGCCTTGGCCTTAGGCTTAACTTTGGGTGAGCTTGGGGCCATCTTACTTTTGGCTGCCTTTGGAGGCATTGCGCCACAAAGGCAAGCACAAAAAAGTCAGACCGATCAAGATCGGTTGATCTGATCACTTTCTAACGGGGGTCCTGGGTCAAGTAGCTACTTGAATTGGGTCAAGCAGCTGCAGCATCAGCATCAATTGAAATCGAAATGAGTGGCAAGTGGCAGTGGCTACCACGATGCACAGGAACAGGAACAATCAAATCTCAGAATCTCAGACCCAGATTGTGAATCTCAGGTGTCTCAGATTGTGAATATCAGATTGAGTGAGTCTTAGTCTTGGACCTAGACTTAGAATCAAAGTCTTAGTAACTCCTAGGTTTTGAGTTAGAGTCACAGTCAGAGTCAATGACGGGCCACACACACAGCAATGCAGTACACACCGAATAAAGCGTTCCCGACCCTGAAGTCCAAAGTCGTCCAGAAGTCCAATTTTCATTTTTCTTTCCTTTCCCACTCTCAAGTCTGATCTATGTCAATGACTATGGTACGGTTTCGACGACGTGCAAGCTAAGTCGCCCAAATCACACCCTGCCTGGGAAACAATCAGTCATGGTTGTTGCCACGTTTAATGAATTTCACTACCTGCTAATCTACCAGACTAAGAGCAAAGAGTAAATCTTTGGCTTGGAGTTCGGAATTGCGATGACAGAAATAAACAATTGAAAAATGTCGAATGAATGAACGCATGAGCCATGAGCTAACCAAGACTGACAGTAACAAACGCGTCAAATGCCTCAACATCAAAGATGCTGAGCAAACAAACGCTACCCCCTGCTGCTAAAGTGTCAACGTCAGACAGCTGCCATATTGCACGGCTGGCCACCCGAAGCAACAAGAAAAGCAGATCCCTTCTACTACTTCTACTACTTACTAAATTATGCCAGGATTTGTGTGTGTGTGATAGGGCAACGAATTACTTCAATGTCCATATTATAGTTTAATGGAAACCAAAGCTGTACACAATGCAGAATGCGATTGGCTGAGTTCAGCCCTAGTACTGAGTCCAATTCAGCTCTCATTTCTGCAACTCTCTAACTTTGATCTTTTGCGAATGGTAGTTCTACTTCAAGACATCTGAGCGCTCTCCAGCCAAAAGGGCCTTGGCAATGTTCAAGATGTGACCAGGCACCTCCAGCTTGTGATCATCCACCACTTCCAATGCACCCTTGATATTGTTAGAGACTGCATCTGTGATCTTCGACTTTGCTTGAATCGATTTCCGAACGGACTTTGAGCACAGGGTTCCCAGAATGTTGCCAGTTGTCCTGGGAATTGGAAACGGGAATAACGGGACGGGAATGACGGGAAATGAAAAACTAATGTCAGTGTCAGGCCAAATCCCAATCACACTCACAATTTGAGACTAACAAGACTGGCGCAGTGCAGTACAGAGAGCAGTGCAGCAGTGAGAAGCTAAGTGTGAAGTGTGCCTGTGTATTGTGTATTGTGATGTGAGACTCCCTACTCCCCACCCTCTGCAACAACTTGGACCCAGACATCCAGAGCAAGCATTTCTTCCAAGTCGATTCCACGTGTGGATACTCAGGGAAGAACACTTCAGGCTTCATCTTTAGGCCAGTCGCCCCACGCTGAATGTTCCGGATGGCTTCTTCCAAAGCCACAGCAGCCTCAATGACAGGCGTGCTTGCATCTTTGCCAAAAGAGTCTTTGATCAAAGTGATCGTTGCATCCTCAAAGAAATGGCTCAGTGTACAAGGCTCCACCAAGGCCGGCAGAAGCTCCAAAGTCTCTGGGATTTCAATGGCTTTCACTTCCTCAGTGAATGAGGTCCGAAGAAGACCAACCTGCTCCTGAACACTCTCATCATGACAAACCAGGAAATCACCAATCACCGAGTCAAACTCTTTGATGTGAGGAGGCTTGTCCTTGTCCTTGTCTGACTTGTCGGAACTGGAACCTGAAATGATACCACTTAGGGCCTCCAAAGCGACCTTCATTTCACCAGGCTTGCTGTTCTCTAGAATCTGGTAGTAGGCACCAAGATCTTCAAGCTGTTTAGATGTAATCTCCCCATTTTCATCCTTTTCCCCTTTGGCATTGACTGCCTCACTTTTCAACACAGCGACCGACCTGACAAGCTTCTCCAAGATGTTCAGACCTTCCCTGATAGACTCTCCTTCCTCCTGGTCCATGACGCTTGACATGCGAGCTGATTTTTCCACATCCTGACAAAACTGCGTGACTTTCTTCTCCGGTAGTTCAACGTCAGGATCAGCCAAGATGTTGTCTGCAACGAACTTGAGACAACTGCTAGCCGCATCAATGGCAGAGGAATTCACTTGGCCACAGAGCAACTCTTTCACTTCCTCAGTGACGGACACAAAGGTCTCTTTGATGGTTCTGGCTCCTCTTCAAATGCCTTCTTTGCTGGGCATGACGTTGAAGTAAAAACCTGCGAGTAAACCTTCACCGTTGCCTCAGACCACGTCTCCCACTCCTCAACACACTGCTGTGCTTCCTTGGGATCAAGCTTTCCTTCCAAAGCCTCATTCACTCGAGAAACGAAGGTAAGGCCAATCTTGAAATGGTCCGACACCTGCTTGGCAAACTTGCCAGTCGTGCCGACATCTCCCAAACACAACAGGCATGAGTCTGGTCCAAGAAGCTCTCGCTCAAAAGGCTGTCTCTTGCCAATGGCCTTGCCGAAGTCCTCAATGAAGGAATTGCACTCCTTCTTCAAAAAGGTCATAACTGCAATGTAGACTGCATCATCAACCAGTCTCTGCAACTTTTTGAGAGAATCACGGTCTGCACCTTTCAGGCTCTTTGTTGCAGGATCTTTGACAACGTCATAGGCGTCTTTCAGCCTTAGTGTACAGGCGAAAGCTGATGACAAATTAGGTACAGTTACGGTACGGTACGGTATAGTATAATTACTAGTTACTAAGTTACTACTTACTACTACTTACCACTACTTACTACTTACTACTACTTACTACTACTACTACTACTACTACTACTACTACTACTGCTACTGCTACTACTACTACTACTACTACTACTACTACTTCAAGTTACTTTTATTTGACCTAACTCCAAACGTTCCGGTACTGGAATCTGACTGATGAATCTGGTTCCTGAATTCCTGATCGATGATTGATGATTGATGATGTGCAATACTCGGAGAGAAACTCCGAGACTCTGAGGGAAAAAAGAAAGAACAGAGAAGAGAGCCTATGTGGACTGCAGTTAAAGTCCAAGAAGCATGGATCCATATTTGGCATCCATAGTGTACGTCGCCATGAAGTATTCCTCAGCGTTCAGATATGCTTGCTCCTCCAGACTTGTAATCTGGTTCTTGATGGATTCCAAAATGTTGCTTTGGCTGCTACGCTTGTCGGCATTTTCAACCGCCAAAGCCATCAATTTCTTGCCCTTGTCCAAGCAGAATGCTTTGGCTAGCCAGTGCTCCGACTTTCCCAAGTCATTGTTTGCACTCATGACATCTTGTGGTGTGGAACTGAAATCAAGAATGTGGCCCACATTGGTTGACACCGTGAGGGAGTCATCATCACCCAGTGCAGTGGGGCAATCTTGGAGCAAAGCCCTCATAGCTTTCACGAACCCACACAGAAAATCCATCTCCTTGGGGTCTTTCACAAGCTTGGCACTACTGCCCGATTTCAGCATCCTTTGCATAAGCTGGCTGGTAAGCAAAGCGAAAAACTCTCTTCCTGCATTGCCGCCAAGATGATTTGAACAGAGCTCCCGTGTCTGACCAAAGAAGTGATCCCAAGCACCCGTTTTCAGGTCCTGCAGATGCATCACGTATCACACAAAGAGTCAATCAGTCAGAGAGTCTAGTCTAGACTCATGACTCATGAGTCATGACCCATGATCATTTGATTCAAGTTTAAAGTCTTAAAGTATCAGATCAGATCAGTATTGTATGTCGAATCTCGAAACAAAACAAAAGTCAGGAAGAGTCTGAAGCTCTGAAGCCAGTTACTGTTACAGTCTCAGTTACTGTTGCAAGTTGCAAGCATCCTATTTCCCAGGCACCCGGCTCGAAACAGTGTCCTCAAAAGCAATAGCTTTAAGGCCGCGTTCCCACACAGCAGCAGAAATGTCAGTCTCGGACTTGACAAAGGGGATAACGTCTTTGATTGCTTGGTAAACACTTGCTCCTTCATAAAACCCCTTCTCCATTTTCTTCAACAAGTCTGAGACAGCATAGATTGCGCCCAAGATGTTCTCCAGCTCCTCAGTGATGTAGCTAATATCTCCGCTTCTCCGTTTGAGACTCTTTCTCTTGGTGGTCACAGAATTCTTAAGATCATTGACAGCCTTCACCCTGGCTTTGCACCATGTCCCAAACGTAGCATCATCACTTTTCTCCAAGTCAAGCTTGAGCAATGGAGCCAATTGGCCTTTGTAGGCCTCAACCATTGCATCATCGTCCGGATTGTGGCTCTGATTCCTTTTAGCGGCACTGCTGGACTCCTTTGGTTCAGGAGCAGGCTTGTCAGACTTTTCAGGCTTGTCAATTCTCTGCCGCTTGCTAGGGTTGGACACATTGGCTGGCGCTGCACTTGATGGTCCTGTGCTGGTGCTGACTACCTTGTTCCTTTTCACAGCAGTCGCAGGAGTGGCACTGCTCGCAGCACGTTTGGCTCCTCCTCCTCCTCCTTTCTGGTTGTCCTTTGCCAAGCGGGCGAAGACATTACTGAAAGGCTCAATCACTGTCTCTTCCTCATCATCATTATCGTCCTCTGCGTCTGGATCTTTGCCTTACATTCATTGTGGCTGTGAAGCAGGGTCACAATTGACTCAAGTCCAAAATACGACTACGACTACGACTAGTGACTACTACAACTTGTAACTTACATTACATCATACGAGTCATACCGATTCATACCAAAGTCGGAAGAGAGAAGTGTGTAAGAATCAGGCTGCTACTACTACTACTACTTCTTCTTCTACTACTTCTACTACTACTAACTACTACTACTACTACTACTACTACTACTACTACTACTACTACTACTACTGCTACTGCTACTACTACTACTACTACTACTCCGAGCTACTACTACTACTACTACTACTACTACTACTACGACTACTACGACTACTACGACTACTACGACTACTACGACTACTACGACTACTACGACTACTACGACTACTACGACTACTACGACTACTACCACTAACCTATCTTGACTCTTGACAATGACAATTAACCTTAACCTTCTAACTTCTAACTTCAAATATCTTACCTCGTGTTGCAATGGCATTGTGATCAGAGTGACTCACTCAGCCAGTCAAAAAATGCCGAGATACCTTCAGTTGAAGTTGATGGTTCAGCAACCGCAGATTCATCTGGACCTGTAGATGACGATGAGCGAGGCTTCACCTGTATGACTGCAGCCTTGTCCACAGTGAGCCTTGATCCCTTCAATTAATGCAAGGCAGCACCATGGATAACATCATTTGTATCATCCGATAACTGCAGCTCTGGCTGGTTTAGCCGTGTACTTCTCGTCACACGGGCAAGGCTCTGATCGATATACTCATAGACGCCCATATCCTGCAAAAGTGTGAGATCTTATCAGTTATCAATTTTGAGTTATCAGTTATCAGTTATCAGGTTATCATTTCTTTCATCATCATCACCATCATCATCGTCACCATCATCATCATCATCATCATCAAATGTTCATCATCATCATCACCACCACGAGAAATTGATTTATGATTAATGTATGATATGATGATACTAGACTAGACTATACTAGACTTTATCATTTTTATTTAAATTTAATTTATAATAATTACACGCCATATGGCCATATGATATCAATGTCAATATCAGTGAATCAGAGTCATGTGAGAAATCACTATTGCCACAGTCCTCGTCGGCTATCACGTCGACACCAGCGACAGAAGAGCCATCAATGATCATCGTCTTTACTTTCTCTGGTGGTGCTTTACCATGCCTTCGTTCGTAGGCCGACAATTCCATGAACTTGCACTTTGGTGCTTTCAAGCCTGTGACTTTTTCTTCTTCCACTGTGACTTTCTCCTTCAGCGGGTTCTTGGAATCTGTAATTCGCGAAGAAGGATGCTCAATCTTGTAGTCCAAGAACGTTTGACGTTGCTGCAAAATTTTATGATTTTCAACTGGGTCAGAGTCAAGCTTTTTGTCGACCTGCACCATAGTCACATGCTTTGCCAGCCATGGGCCCAACTCGGCTACCTGCCATGTGGCAAGGGAGCATTGGGTTGATACTGGCTGAGTGTGATGTGTGTGTGGTGTGACTATACCATGTATCGTCCCCTATATATGTACCGTACTGTACCTATATGTATTATGTACCGTACCCGTACCGTACCACCGTACCGTACCACCGTACCGTACCACCGTACCGTACCACCGTACCGTACCACCGTACCGTACCACCGTACCACCGTACCGTACCACCGTACCGTACCACCGTACCGTACCACCGTACCACCGTACCGTACCACCGTACCGTACCACCGTACCGTACCATCGTACCGTACCATCGTACCGTACCACCGTACCGTACCACCGTACCGTACCACTGTACCACTGTACCCACCGTACCCTCTTTGGGGAAATGTGGTGCTAATCCTGGAATGTGTGCTATAGCGGCACATTCCAGGATTAGCACCACATTTCCCCAAAGAGGGTACGGTGGGTACAGTGGTACAGTGGTACGGTACGGTGGTACGGTACGGTGGTACGGTACGATGGTACGGTACGATGGTACGGTACGGTGGTACGGTACGGTGGTACGGTACGGTGGTACGGTACATGGGTACGGTGGTACGGTACGGTGGTACGGTACGGTGGTACGGTACAGTGGTACGGTACGGTGGTACGGTGATACAGTATGGGTACGGTACAGTACACATATAGATACCGGTACAGTACATGATGGTGCATGATCATAAAGTATACATTACTTTCACAGTTCCAAGTTCCAACCCAGTCCAGTCCAATGAAATACAATAGATCCCATGCAATCCAGTAATTTAAAGTTTTAGTTTTAATTTTAATTTTAATCAAATCTGATCTTAACTTAACTTTAGTTTAAGTATTAGTCAGTCAGCCAGTCAGTTAGCTAGAGGCTAGAGTCTAGAGTCAATCTATTTACTCAGTGAAACAACAAGTGACTCCCGAATCAAATCAGGCCTTCTTGCACAGAAGACAATGGTTGCCAGTAGGTCCAAATGGAGGTTTTCCAGCTCCCCATGCAATCAAACTGCCCCACTTCTTCTCAGCTGAATCGCTCTGATCATACTGGGCGGGTTCAGTTGACCACCGCCCGCAACGCCTGCAACGCCTGGGCTTGTAGTCCCCTGGCACGTCTGCCCCCTGTGGTGGTGGCGGAGCTTGCGATACATCAGCCAAAGAACTCTTGGCACTGACTGACGCCATCACAATGGCGGTGCTGGCGCTGGGAGAAAACTGATAGTGTTTGTTTCAAGGAAAGAGACACTGTGGTGTGCTGAGCCTCAATCCTTATAACGGTCATCCACAAATAACAACTGCTAGTCTCACAGTCTCAAGTTCTGAAGTCTAGAATGCATGACATGCAACCTCACTCGTTCAACAAACAGGTCACACTCTCCAGCTGCAATCATCTGTTATTATTGCCAGCAGTTCAACTACAGCTTGCAAAGCGTGTGAATGTCATAGAGTTCTGGAGAAGACTGGAATAGAGAAGTGTAGAAGTAGTGAGAAGTGTGAGATCTGTACTGTACTGCATTGTATCAGACTCAGGCTCGTTTCTTTGTTCCCCTTACCCCAGTGACTCCTGATGTTGCAAAAGCTGGCCTGGCTGAATTGCTCAATGGTCTGTACAAACCAGGCACACAATGCAAAGATGCAAATGACACCAACCTCTCACAATGGTGCCAGGGAAATGAAATACACTTGTGAAACCATAGCGGCCGTCATCGGATTCCAAGGAACGAATTGATCCTCACGTCAGGCTGGCCAGGACACTGGAGGCTGAAGGGAATTCAGTATCAGTGTCTAGTTCCTAATTTTTGTAAATAATTTTTAATTGTAAATTGTAGATTGTAGATATACAAATTTTACTTAATGCTGCAATGCTGCTGATGCTTATACACTGGCTGATTTTATAGATTTTTATTTGTTTTGGATGATAGCTGCGGCTCATATCGAATCATACATACACAATACATACCACATACCATGGACCATACATATCTATTTTGTTGACTCTCTGACTCTCTCTCTCTCTCTATCCGATTATCTCCGACTAAAATCTTGACAAGAGTCTGTGCCTTGTGCTGTGCCCCATGATCACGGTTCGGAATCCGTCGCCCAGCTTCCAACCAGCTAAGCATAGCAGTCTCTGCATTCTCGTGCAATCGCTTCGCAGCGATCAAGGCAGTACAGCCGCGATGTAGCCCTGAGTACATCAGCAATGAACATCACATCAGTAGTCAGTAGTCAGTAAATCAAAACAGACATCCGTCAGAGTAGTAGTAGTAGTAGTAGTTAGTAGTAGTGTTAGTAGTAGTAGGTCTAGTAGGTCTAGTAGGTCTAGTAGGTCTAGTAGGTCTAGTAGGTCTAGTAGGTCTAGTAGGTCTAGTAGGTCTAGTAGGTCTAGTAGGTCTAGTAGGTCTAGTAGGTCTAGTAGGTCTAGTAGGTCTAGTAGTCTAGTAGTCTAGTAGTCTAGTAGTCTAGTAGTCTAGTAGTCTAGTAGTAGTAGTAGTAGTAGTAGTAGTAGTAGTAGTAATAGTAGTAATAGTAGTCAATTGCATCAGTACAGTCAGTCAGTCCAGTATGCAGATGGGCTTGTATGGTGGGTATGGTATGTATGGTGTCGGTGCATGGGTTCCTATATATATGATTCGATGATGATACAATGATACAATGATACAGTTTGTGACTATGATTCTGATTTGATTACTATGATCTATGATTCTGATTATGATGGCTCACGGCTCAAGTGGCTCAAGACTCTGTATGACAAGCATTGACAAACATACCTGAACGGCGCAACAACTCAACAACAACAACTGATTAGATTCAACTGATAGATCTTCCAAACAAATGAAGCTGTGGCATTGACTTTTTTTAAAAAATTGAACGAGGAACCGCAACGCAAAGAAATTGCGTGATTGTCTTCTCCTGGCCTCACCTCCGTTATCCGGCCTGGGAAGTCAGTCACTGATGATCTGAAATTGAATTGAATACATCTGTCTGACAGTCAGTCGGTAACACTGTAACAGTAACACTGTAATTAGTACAGTAGAGTACAGTCAGTCTGATTCAGTGAGATCGATGATCGATAGACCTGATTTGTCATGATTTGTCTGAACAGGCTGAACTGCTGTGATTGATTGGTCAGTGGCAACTAGGGGACCCAACCCAAATGGTAAGGCTTTTTTGTCTCTTGGGAAAAGACCCAACAATAGCCTTTCGAATCCCTCCATGGATGGGTGTAGCTTTGCACTGGAATTGGACTTGGCTGTCCAGATTGCGCTACTGCTGATGTTGCGGATGCCGCTGGTGGACTGGGTCCGGGTTTGGAACTGGCAGAAGCCTCTGGTTGTTTAGGGGCAGGACCAAGTTGCTCATTGACCACATCTGCCCACTCTGACATTAGGTTCCGTTCCATCTGTCCAGCTCGCCCCAATTCATCTGCAGCTTCATCGTCTGCTTTCTGTCTCTTGACTGGCTCGCTATTAGTCAAAGGTAAATGCCTCTTTTTGGATCCTGCAACCTCTTTTCCTTTCTTCTTTCCTTCTGTTTTCTCCCGCCCAGCCCCCCGCCCTCTTCCTTTCTTTTTCTCATGTCCCCTGCCCCTGCCCTTGTGTTTACCTGCAGCCTGCCGAAGAACTTTCAAATTACAAATGTTTGCCATATCTTCAGCTGAAGAGTTGGACGACTCGTCATCGTCTGCAGCAGCTGCCCGCCTCGAACGGTCCGGGATACTCAGTTCACCTGCTGCTTGCACAGATGTCAAGTCGACAATGATCTGGCTGAGTGATACGGCCTTGTACTTTGCAGTCTTGAAGAAAAGTTTTTGATCGTCCAAAACTGCCCCTCTGTTCCTTCTTGCAAATTGCAAAACCAAGCTGCAGAGTGTATTGAACACCGGCTGAGAATCTTCAACTGTCAAGCATGCTCTCCCTTCAGTTTTGCACTGCCAATGAAACCTGGCTGAGCTTGCATCCAATGGTTTGAAGGACAATCTTACCAGCATGAAAAGGTCTTCAGTTAGCTCCTCTGACTCAGTCACAAGAAGCAACAGTGTGTGGTCAGGTATGAAGCCCTTGTCTCTCCTAATCTGGCGGGCAAAGCGCAAAACATTTCTGGATTGCTCAAGCAGTTGATCATATTCCGCAAACTCAGTGTCTTTCCTGCAAATTCCCGGGCCAAAAACAGATTCACAATTGTTTGGTTCAGCCTCGTTGACATCGTCTTCTGGTCCAACATGCTCAATGATCTTGCGATAGTGTTGTTGGAAAGCATTGCTACTGTCAGTCACCCAGTTTCCCTGATAGTCACTACGTGCCGCATCTACCTCTGCTGCTGAAATTGCAAAGTGCTTGTCAGAAAGGTCTGCCAAACTCTGTGATGTAGAGGCACTGTGGTGCACGGCCACCTGGCCTTGCTGCTCCTGCTCTTGATGCTGCAGCAGCTCCCTCGATGTGGACCTATGAATTTTGTTGGAGGCAATAGCTGCAACACTGCTTTCCTGCCCGGGCGCAATGAGAGACAAATAATTTCAACCTAGGTCCTTGAGATTCTATGAAAACTTTGGAACACTTACAGTACACTGTACACTTATGACACACTGACACACACACACATGACCCAGATGACACATGACACCTGGCACTTGACACATCATAAAACCTCACTCCTGTCGCAAAGGGGCATCTGCCCTCCACTGCTGAATTGCTTCTTGTCTTGTGCGAAGCCTAGCTGCATTTGCACTTTCACCGGGCAAAACAACCTGAGGCAGCAGTGAAAGCAAATCAATTCTTCTGATGACAGGAACTGGAACTGAAAAAGCCTAAGGTGACTTCCCGAACAAATCTCCTGGCTACCGACTAACTATTCACATAAACTACATGTAGCACTGAGCACTGTAGCACCCTTCGCTGTCGCCATGTTTAGTTGAGTTGAGTCCCAAACTCGGTTTGACAAGGCCTTCTTCATGAAATATGTGAAGCCATTGTATGTCTTGTTGCCTCACGGAATTGGCTCATTGAAATTCAAGGCTCATGATCGGCTCATGCAAGTCAATCATCAATTACAAATGTCGTACTGGATGAACTATTAATTAGTTACAATACTACAAAATACAAAATACAAAATATTGCAAGTAAAGACCGGCGACGCAGTTGCCGGCTTGACTCTCTACTTTTTGACCTGACCTGGCCTCGCCTGATTCATTCTCCTCCCCTTCTTCATCGTCCAGCGGCAGTAGCTGTTCCAATTGCGCAGCATGATGGTCCTTTTGAATTTCGGTCAGCACAAATTTCGAGACCTGAGAGTGAAAGGAAAAATATGAGCCCATGGAGAGCAGGTATTGGTAAGTATAGACGGATGACGGTACAGTACGGTATATAAATAGTGAAGTCAATCAGTCAGTCAGTAGTCATTGTTTTTGTCCAGAGTCCAGAGTCCAAAACCATAATGCAAGTGCAGTGCAACAACTGCCAACAGCACTATATTTCATAGTTTGCTTTTCACATTCTTTCTCGTCTTTACTTCACTAAATAATCCGAATGATACCGCCACTGCGTGGTTATTTATTTAGTTCAGCAACGTCAACTACCATTCCCAGTTTGACCGTCAAGTGTCCGACAAATAATGTCAGCTTCTGTTTTGTGATAGATGATAGATGGGTATTGATTGGTTTTAACTTGCCGGCAGTCAGATAACTAAGTTTCCAGCAACGCTCTCAATCCCATGTGACCTTCCCCTGCACACCCTGGGCCAACTCAAAACTCAAAACGATGAGATACGAGGTAGTATTTCATGCGGACTGTGGACTGTGCTTACTTGCAACTTGATTTACCACAAGAAAGAAATTTGAGACTCCCACGCGCGCTGACTGGCCGCTCTGGCGAAGTTGCATTCCACTTCGTTGTTGGACAGCTTTCTCATCTGAGCAATTTTGACCTGCCAATTGCCAATGACCAAACTGAAAGTAATCAAGGTGTCAGCTAAGTGACTTGAAAGTGTCAGTGTCAGTTTAAACTGCCAATTGTCAATCGTCCCTGTGGTCTGTCATCCTCAAATCAATCATCACATAATTAATTGATGATTTGATTCAAGTTGATAGTGATGGTATCGGTATAGCAATGATCATAAAAACACAGTTTTGTCTTCTTAGTAACAACTTAAGTAACTAAGTTTATTTTTATAATAATTATAAATTATAAATTATAAACAAAACTAAACTAAACTAAAGTGCATTGCGATTCTCCAACTCATCTCCTAAACTCTAAACGAACGCTCACTGAGAAACGCACCACTTCGTGCACTTGACCTCTTGGCAGAAGTTCAGCTGAGGGGAGCCCATTCACCTACAGGAGCTCTTGATGCAAGTTAGGTGCAGAAGCTTGAAGCATGAGGGTTGCCTGTTGCCTATTGTTGCAAGATTCCCTTGCCTCCATGTACAATTTCAGCCGATTGGAAAATGATGAATCCACACAGCACGATGGCATCAACATGAACTGGCTCGCAATGCCATCTTTGTCAGCATCTGATGAAGCAGGATCCAAGAGCACCGCTAAACGATGCGGCCAAGCCTGCACAGTGTTGGACAACTAGGACGACTAAGCTGTAATCAATTCAAATTCAACTATAGACTATAGACTATAGTCTATAGTCTATAGTAACTAAACTCAAGCTGTGTCTCATACATGCTGAGATCTAGTGGTCAGCAAGCGGAACGGGAATTGCCTGGCCTGAAAAGGCAGAACCAGTCTGTGCCATGTGTGTCCAACGATGGATAGCAATGTGAACTGGGCCAGCTGCATATCTGCTTCGCCAAAGCCTTGTGTGGACAGGCGTTCTCCAATTTTTCTGACTGGAGTTGGCTGGAACGAATGAATCATGTTATTAAGTTATGACTCATAATTCATGAAACTGTCTAACCACTTGGAACTCGAACTTCATGGAAGTTGAAATGTTGGAGTGCACAGTGGGCTTACTAAGACTTCAGACAGTGTCATGAGTCACGAGCTATATACCTAAGTAATAATCATAATCATATTAATATTCATAGTCGAATTTAATAAATTATAATATCGAATCGCATCATTTGAAATGTTATTAATACTTAATTTACTTATATATATAATTTATATAATTTTATTTTATAATATAATATAATATAAACATATCAGAATCAGAATCATTGTTTCAGAAACCAAGAATCATATCAGAATCAGAATCAAACAAACAGAATAATTCAACTGCTCAATCATAGTCATAGTCATAGTCATCATCAAACATAAACAGTGTACACTCTACAACAGTTGTTTTTCTAAATTCCTAAATCAAATCTGACACTCGCCCCAAGCAGCCTCTCATTGTGGGAGGGAGGTTGCCCATTGCAAGCTCCACATACGATGTAAGGGCTTGTACTGCTGGGGACCTTATAACTCGGACAATGTGACAGCAGGATGTTGTGACTAAGGCTAAGACTAAAACTTAGCAGTGAATTGACTTCTAGATCCGATCCAGTCTGTCATTCATGAGCCCCAAACCTCTCTGCCACAGCAAATTTCACTGCAGGCAAATTTTCTGGTTCGTCGCCATTCAGCCATGTTCTGCACTTTTGCTCCATGAACAGGGTGAACCTTAGCAGTTTTCAGTTTCAGTTTCCAGTCTTGCCTGTTGGTCAGCCAACCAAACCATCCATAACTTAACCATAATCAATAATCAATCTTGACAAATCTGAAAAACTGACATCATGAATTAATGACGACATACAAAATCAAAAAAATGTTTGAATCAAACTGTAAAGCTTGGGACCCGGCAGAACTCTCTCAATGGGCGCCAGCATCGTCGCAGATATGATCAGGTTGTTCAAGGTCACAGGACGGTGAACAAATTCGGTCGCACGTTTCGCACGTTTTCTTTGAATGCGTTGGTACTGGGCACTCTCTACCTCTTGCAACCCTACCATCTGTGACTCTTTAGAATCAGCATCTGCGTCAGTCTGGGGCAGTGGCGACGCCTTCCCAAACAATGACGCCCTCAACATTGAAGAAAATAGATGACATTGTGATCGTGGTGGTGACATTACATGAGAAGACTGAAAAGAAGTGTTGCAGTTGCAAGTTGCAACAATTTGCAACACTGACTAGCTGTGTGATGACACAATTGCAACTGCCACCTTAATTCAACACGTCGCATCACATCACATCACCTTAACCTGCTTGCCTTAAATGTGCAACTCCACCCAATAGGGCTTCCACCAAGCTTGTCCCAGCAAATTGTGGAAAGCCATTGCCAGCCTATAGACACATTGCAAAACCAACAGCCCCAGTGCGAGTTTCATTGCAGAATCGCTGAGAACCAGGCATGTAGAAGCGAATGCACTCCCCTGTTTGGGTCCACCTACTAAGCACTGGAATCGCAGGTCTTCGGTGGAACCTCGTTCAGCTTATGATGAGAGAGTGACTGTCTCTTTGCCGGGTGCATATTTGAGTCTGCAGTGGTTTGTCAGTATACAGTATACAGTAGTATACAGTATACAGTATACAGTATACAGTATACAGTATAGTATATACCGTACGTACGTACGTTACGTAACGTATATGAATACCATTACATGAGAAACTCCCAACTCAGGTTTGACTGCATTTGAATCAGAATTTAGAATTATTAGAATTAGAATCATTTGAATCTGTCAGTCCCCTCTTCAAAATGTTCCTGAGCCTCAAACACAAGCTCCATGATTGCGAGCCACATGCGAATACCTTATTGTTCCCGACATCGAGTGATCTGTCGGTTCGAGTGATCAGTGATCAAATCATAATTTTCAAATTTCAAATCAAATGATATGATTTTTGAACATGCAATCCATGCATGATCAGGACATAGTCGATAATAGGCAGCAATCCATGAAAACAGAAATGTTCAGAAATGTAAGTATGCTATGTGGTGATCAACGGGCTGCTTAACCGGCCCAGCAGCCAAACCTAACAACTAGAATCAAGAATTTGAATCATGTATAGTCTAGGTCTAGTACAGTATAGTCTAGAGTCTAGTATTTATGTTATTAAATTATATTATGTTATTATGTAAGTAATTAAAGTAAGGGAAGTAAGTTCTATTTCTTCTTGTGATTCTTGTCAAGATTTGAAACCAGCAGTCCCAACTCACAAGTCAACCAGCCAGCTTGAGACATCTGGGGATCAGGCTAGTTTTTTCTTTCGATTCCCCGCCACATGGACACGTCAAAGAGCAATGATGAATTGGAGTCTCGTTTTGCCAATCCTTTGGCAGGCGCACTCCACAAGCAACTTCAAGCAACGATAATGTCTTCACAGTATAGTATAGTCAGTATAGTCGTATAGTATTAGTATTACATAAAATCAAGTTCAAGTCAAGTCAGAAAACAACAAGATACATGCCAAGCTGTACAGCTAAGGCGAGTTCCCCATTTGCCAGTGCCAGGAAAAATTCAACTTGTTCAGAAGATGGCCCCGGCCGCTCTGAATCTGCTGAGGACGGGCCTGGGAATGAATGACATCATCATCAATCACCAACGACTAAAATAAACATTTCAAACAGATCAAACTCCTCCATAACATATCGAAATTAAATGTCAGGTCACACTACTTTGAATCGAAGCGCAATCTTATTCACCCAACTCAACCAAGAAGAACTGATTGGTCAGGTCCCTAATGCTCCGCAAGCCGTAAGTGGAGAAGTCTATAAGACTATGTTAGTCATTAGTAGTCGTATGAATGTCGAAAGCTCTTTGCATGTGGCTACATTCCGGCTCTGCTGGTTGTATTGCACTAGCTCCCTGACCCGACAGAAAACAAACAAGAATAAGCTTCCCCACGTCTCAGCACGGCTTGTTCAAGTACTTCGCGGGCATAAGCCTTGTGCTCCGGGTTTGGCCTTGGCACATGCACAGCACACTCAGAAAGAGACAAGCAGGTTGCCTGTGTACTGTACATTGTGAATCTATATATATAATTTATCAAGTATCATTATCATATATAAACTTATATTATCATCATCTGTAATGGTAATGATGTTATAAAAACTAATTCATGTAATCATGTAAATATGATCAGTTATTAATAACATATGATTATCATATAATATGATTCATATGATACGACTCAATCTCCTGAAAGGTCTTTGAGGGCAAGGCTTGTCAAATGAGATCTGGAGCTTCTTGATGAAGATATCCCGACAGCTCTGTAAGAGATCATGATAGATGCTTCCCTTTGTCAGAAGCGATGAGAAGCAGAACCTACCAACTGCCAAATTTCCAGCAGCACTGACTTG